ATTTTCTTCTTCTTTACCTACGAAAAGTGATGGGTTATTTTCGTTTGATAGATAGTTCTAGTATATGATGAAGTAGTCCAACTTTCCATCCTTTAAATTCATAGGTTAATACTTCAGTGGTTTACAAATTGTTTCAAGATGTTTTGAAATGTTCTAGAAAACTCACAAAACTTTATATCGTCTACTCAAATTGCGAGTCAACAATTAAAAAAACAAATGCACTCTATTTGGTAGACGTGAAAGTATAGAAATTTCTCAAAAACAATTTTCTTGCCCTAAGGACAGCTTAGAACATAATAGATTTTGACTTTTCCAAAAAAGTGAAGGCGAAGGACAAATGAGGTAGATTTGTAAAGGGCATTTCTTTCGTTTCTCTTTTGTTAGAAAAAGTTCGAAATTTTCTCAACGACAGCCGTCTTAAACAAGTCTTGGAAAAAAATTAAAATTAAATTTCCTGGGCAAAATTTAAGGCCCTAAACATTCCTAAAGAATTTTTTTAGCCTTTCTTATATTTGCAACCCTCAGAATTTCACAGAAACATTTCCGCATATATTAAAAAAGACATCAATAAAGCATTGAAAAGAAATGCAAATTTTTCCATTTGCCAGAAAAACGATGGGATTTTCGCTGTCATATCTGTAAAACTCGTCGATTTCTTTTAAATTAGAGAAGTTGGATGCAAATGTTGGGAAAATCAATGATTAAAGGTTTCCTTGAATGTTCTTTGATATTTAAAGAGCTTTTTTTGCTCTATGACGTTTCTTCTCGACATTTAAAAACACAAATAACAATGTTCTTAAACATTGGCTTCTGCTCGGTGCTACTTTAAAGCATCTCTCCAGTCCAATAATCAAATTTTTCGCAAAGCCGCAATTCAAGTGTTTTTCTAGGACTTTCTGCGATTTCACGGGATACTTAGTCTATAAAAACGAAGTGCAAGCACATTTACTATATTCAGCCCACAGTGCAAATTCAATTACGAGGAGGACGAGACGAATGGCGACGAACGACGACGACGACATGCCTCGGGTCGTCGACTCTCGTCTTCGTCTTCGTCGTCGTCGTTGTCGAGACGATCGACAATAGCATGAGAAGGGACGTCTCGATAAACAGAATGTGGCATCCTCTCAAGCTGCACATTGTTTTTCGTCACAAACGCATATATGAACACCATTTTACACAAATATTGGCCTATTTTAAGTTTGATGTCTATTGGAAGTAAAAAGTTGAAGACATCTATGCACTTCTTGCAAGTTC